CAAACATGTACTAACGAGGGGAAATCCCTAAGGGTCTAGCGTTGGACTAGCCCATTCTATGAATTCCGACTAGCGTTGGACTAGTGGAAACGTACATTCATCCATCACATTCATTCAGGCTATGGAAAGCGAGTAGACATGCCAAACACTTATAAACACATAGCACATAACATTTAGCATGCTCGACTAGATGCAAGGCCCTAACAAAGCAAATTAACACGTAGCAACTAAGCATGCAAGACACATAAGACAATTAAAGCCCTAACTATTACATTTGCTAGCTAGGCACATGACTTCGATAGGTCTTCATTGAATGCTCCTCCAAGCCCTATCTATTACATTAGGGAGACCCTACTACAATCTAAAAGGGGGAAAAGTAATAAAATAATTAAATCCCTAACTATTACAAGCCAAGAGGTGTACACATACCCCATAAAGAATAACTTAAATAAAAAAACAAAAGTAAATGACATAAATAAAAGAAATTAAAGAAAGGCTAGGAAAGCAAAGTAGACATGTATTTCTCACGTAGCACGTTGGTTCACATAGGAGAGACACAAAAAGGGATAAAAGAAATTATACCGCTCCCTTTGAATGGTGTCCAAATGAAAGAAAAATGACTTCAAAACAATAAAAAGGTCAAGGTACCACTTTAATTGAGAAAAATTAAAGAAAACATGCAAACACGGGCTCACATGGTCGTAAAGCTCCTAAAGTCATGACTTAAGTGCAATTGACAAAGCATGGTAGTTAATTGAAGCAAAGCAATGAATGATATCGCAAAAATTAAAGCTGCCAGGGACCAAATTGAAAACATTATGCAATTGGTCGGGTCATAGTGGAACAAGGGGAAACTTGGGGGGTTAAAAAGGCAAATTTTAGAGGAATTTGCATGCATGCAACGAAGGCTCTCTCTGCCTCAAACAAACCATTCGACAACCAAGTGATCCTTATGCAATCTCCATTCAACAGCTTCCATGATTCTCAACAACATTTCGACAAGCAAGGTCAATATAAAACTTCGATCCATCTTCAGTTAACACACATGGCTAAACACTTCTAAAAAAAATGCAATTCATGGAAAACACTTCATGCTAATGACACCTGCGAAACAGTTTTTGCAACAACAAAACGAAACTTGCTGCACTTTCGTCTCCTTCCCAAATTTCAGACCTGAAAATGCAGCTTGGTTCGAAGATTTTTCAGACAAAATCATGGTTTGAAGCTGAACAAACAAGACACAACAAGCAAAACTTGAAAAGAAGTTTTCGTGCAAATGTTATGAGGAAAACTATTGCAACAGAAAACAGGCAAAACTTTATTGCTGTAGCAGACTGCCGCATTGTAGCCTGATGCTATATCGCATTTTGCAGCTTAAAATTGCAGCAGAACATACACGGCACTGCTATCAAACAGCAAGTCAATCCAAACACAAAAAAAAAGAACTGAGTCAAGCACGAAATTCAGTCACACGGCAAACATCAAAAAGGCAGTAAGCATTTTGCCACCAAATTGCAATCTTGGAGCAGATTATCGAATAAAACTTAGGTTGCAAATAAGCATTGACATTCTCTAGATGCAAATCAGTACCAAAAGGACACAGCTTTGGATGGTCGAATACAGCAAAAAGCAAGGAAATAGCGAAAAAAGAACATCAAAACAGAGTTGCTCACGCATTCTTCAGCCCAGGTTTGTTCAAGATGTTTTGACAGATGAAACGAGCCTGTTGCTAACTATAACAACATGAGATAATTTCTACACCTCAAGCCCTATCTACATGACCCAGATACGAATATGCGAAGTTAAAATCTAAATCAATCAAAGCATGGGAATGAGAGAACCACATGAAGAAAATGGACCCAGATAACAGCCATTAAAGGGCGGAAACTTGATGTCGGATGAAAATGAATTATAAACGGCAGAGGATGAAAAGGAACCTTACCTTGAGAGATGATTGGATTCATAATAGTCTAACAAAACCGGCTGCCATCTTGGTGGAGAAAAACCGCAAGCGAACGTATGGAGATCCGGTGACCCCTGTCCCAGTTTTTCCTCTTCTTCGCTGGCTCGTCACTCTCGGCTTTCACTCTTTCTCAGCCTTCTTTTCCTTCGTCACCCTCTCCCTGTCGTTCCTTCTATCTCCCTTAGGTTCTCCTAGCTACCCTTTTTAGCCGTCAACTCTCTCTATCAGCCCGCTACCTCTTTTCCTCTGCCTTTTCTACTTAGCCGCTCCTCTGTCTCTCTCGTTTAGTACCCGAAGATCCTCCCCATTTCTCCTCTAATTTTTCCCTTTGCTTCCCGATGGTTTCGACCGTCAACTTCTATCTCATTCTTTGTATGCTCCCTCCTCCCCTCTTGCGGCTGCCTTTCTTTTTTCTATTTATACTAGCCCTCTAGCCCTAAAACAACTCAGCCATCCTCTCCATATTGCAGCTAAGGGCTCCCCGAGTCCTTCCTTGCAAAGCTGCAAAAAATGCAGCTTGCATGCCGCGACTGTTGTTGTTGTTGTTTTTTTTTTTTTTCAACTTAATAATTTAACAAAAATAATAGTAAAACTAAATAATAATATAACAACAATTTTAATCAAAATAAACAAACTAAAAAATAACAAAGTTACACTACAAGAAATTTGGCCTTTTGTGACAACATTCTCTGCGACAAGAGAGAAAGTTGTCACAATTGAAAACTTTAGTGACGACTTTTAATATCGTCATACTTGATCGTGGGTTCACCCGTCAACAGTGACAACACGAGATAAGTTGTCACAATATGGATGGCGCGCAACTATCCAGTGTGGCGGGAGATCGCCGTTGTGACGACTAGAAAATATGTTGTCACTGAAACTCGTCCTACAGTGACAACTTAAAATATCGTCACAATATGGTTGCCAGTTCTAAATTAGTGACAACAACTAGTCGTCACTGTCCAAATAATTTATTCCCATCTCACTTTCACTAATTCTACTATATCACCCTAATATTTTCAATATGGCCCATATGTTGTAAATAAGTTTTATTAATTCTACCATGCCACCCTAACTTTTACATTTTGACCCTATATACCACCTTAATTTTTTTAACATGACCCATGTGTTGTAAATAAATTTTATTAATTTTGCTATGACACCCTAACTTTTACATTTTAACCCCATATACCATCTTAATTTTTTGAATATGGTCCATGTGTTGTAAATAAATTTTATTAATTCAACTATGACACCCTAATTTTTATATTTTGACCCCATATACCACCTTAATTTTTTCAATATGACCCATATGTTGTAAACAAATTTTATTAATTCTACTATGACACCCTAACTTTTATATTTTAACCCCATATACCACCTTAATTTTTTCTATATGGGCCATACGCTGCAAGTAAATTTAATTAATTATATTATGACACTCGAACTTTTACAGTTTAGCCTCGTATTTGGTAAACTAATCTCATTAACTCTACCATGACACCTTATCTTTTGCAATTTAGTCTCGTATGTGACAAAGAAAATTTTTATTAATTTTATTATGCCACCCTATGCTTTTATACTTTAAGTTGTGTTTATCATTAGCAAAATGAGGTATATATTGTAAAAAACAATGTTTACCTATTTTTCAATTATTCCAAACATAGCTAATACCTTGTTATAAAGTTAAAAAAATATCATGAATTCTTTATTTAGTTCTCTTGACAACATATGGGAAATTACTGATTAACATAGTGTGAAAATAATGGAACAGAATAATAAAATTTAATATGAAATTAAGTAAAAATCTTAACAATTCCATGACTGGGGTTTGTTATGTATTACAATTTACAATAATCAAATTGTTTATGGTTTATGAATCAGTACATGTATCAAATAGATTTAGTGTTTCATGCATGTATTAGTAAACCATTTTGGTTATTTGATCAACTAGTTTATTATTAACTAGTTAACCAATTGGATGACTGGAGTTTATTATTAATTACAATAGTAACATTGTTTATGGTTTATGAAACATATTTTTAATAAGCTTTTTAGTTTTTGGACATTAATTTTTTGTAGAAATAAAAAAAACCTGTGTTAGTAAACAACATTATCAGAAAACACTAAATTTTCATATTCTAAAGTTTTAATGCAACAAATAAAGTTTTAATACAACTTATGAGCTAAAAACTCAAAATAATAAACAACTTTAATTGCACAAAGATAGAGAAAAGAAAAAGAGATATACTAGAGAAAGCGTTGTTTTTGTAAAGAAAGGTCCAAATAGTTAGTACAAAAGTCACTTGAAAGCGTTATTTTTTGGCTGAAGCTAAAATGGAAGTGGGAAGCTCAAAATTGGAGTAGAGGCGGGGGAAGCTGAAATTTGGTGTACAGGCGGGGAAAGCTAAAAATTGAACAAAATTGAACGAGTAGAGACGGGTAAACAAAAGAAGCAGAAACGACGTCATTTTAGCAAGAGTTAAACAAAAACACTCATAACACTTAGAAAATTTTCGGACATCATTTTAGCAAGACATTCATCGCGACATCTCCAAGAACTCTCGCCAACCCTACGCTGTCTCTAGGTCCGCCGGCCAGGCCGAGTCTTGGGGTGCTGGTCTCGCTGTTTCCCGTATCTCTCGTGTTCCTGGCGGTGGCACTCACCGTGCCGGCCAGGATGTCTATGGCAACATGTGCTGTGGCGGCCGCATGTTTGCTCCGACCAAGATCTGGCACCGTTGGCACCGCAGGTCCCAGTTAACAAGAAATGGTATGCCGTGGTTTCTGCCATCGCCGCCTCTGCAGTGCCTTCCCTTGTCATAGCCCGCAGCCACCGGATCGAGTCTGTCCTGCAAATCCCCTGTGTGATCTCCGATTCTGCTGAGGCCATGGAGAAAACCTCCAATGCTATCAGTCTTCTCAAGAAAATTGGGGCTTGCCTTGATGCTGAGAAGGCTAAGGACAGCCAGGGTTGTCTGATTTTGCGGAGGAGCCGGAGAGGGCTGATTTTACGGAGGAGCCGGAGAGGGCTGATTTTGTGGCGGAGCTGGTGGAGTTTGGGAGGAAAAGGGTACCTCGGGAGTATTGGAGGGAGACTGAAATTAGGCTAATGGCAACTGCTGGTTTGAGGATGTTGGAGAAAGGAGTTCAAGATAGGATTTTGGAGGCTTGCCGAACCGTGTTGAGGGGCTCCGGTTTCAGGTTTTACGATGATTGGGCTTCCGTTATTTCCGGTATGATGCCATTTGGCTTGTGGATTTCTTTTAATTTTGGTTCTCTGATCTGCATTTTGAAGCATGTTTTGTATAATCAATGGTAAGAGTGTTGGAAATTCTAGTGTTTTGCTCTAGTTAGTATGCTAGTGACGTATCTGGACATTGAGAATGTGAACTTTTGCAACCCTGTCTGAGTGGATATAACTTCTTTGTTAGGTGTTTGTTATTGCTTATCTTTTTGGTTTATTCAACTTCAAGTGACAATGTGCTTGCTAAGGAGTCAAAATTTGAACTTTAAGTAAGTAAGGCCAGATTATAGGTAGATTCAGATTTTTGAATTCTGGGTAAAATGTACTTGGATGTTGGTCTCATGCTAACTGCTGCATTTCCTATCTAATAGCTTGGCAATGCTATATGGGCTTTTATTTAGTCATATTAATTCTTATAAACTGGTTTTGTTAGCATTTAATTCTTGTTATATTTTGAAAGTCTAAAGTTGGATGATCCATTGTTTAGGTTCTGATGAAGGTGTATATGCCTGGGTCGTTGCTAATTATGCCCTTGGCACTCTAGGAGGTGATCCTAAGCAAACAACTGGTATTATTGAACTTGGAGGTGCTTCAGCTCAGGTTGTGAATTTATTTTCAATTGTTAGGTTCTTCTATAGTTAAGACATGCTCATATTCACTGACTTATGTGGAACTCATGTCTGAATTTTTTCTAGTTAGTTGAGTATTTCTTCTACTCATAGGTGAAGCTTTTAGTGTAATGAATGGTGACTTCTTATACATTTGTAATGCCAACTGAAACTGCAAACTAAGTATTGTTATTTTGGTTCTAAATATGATGGGGCTCAAATCTTTCCTTGTCGAAACTGCTATAGTTATTATGATTTTCTTCTATATTTGTTCAAGGAGTTGACATGTAAAATTTTTTTAAAAAAGGTGTTGACATGTATGATGAATCTTGTTAACAGATGATGAGGAAGTTAAGTAAACAGCTCAATGGTGAGGATTGGATGCGGAACAACCTAAATACCTTGCTGGGCAATAGGATCTATATCAGGATCAATGATGGAGGAACAAGTGTATTGCTTTATGCTGTATATTTTTCCTGTTTTTAGTCTTTCTTCGCTGAGTGACTATTTTCTGGCTTCTTTCTACTCAGAATGAGACCTTGTGTTTGGATAACTTTCAGTTTTATGGTTATTTTTCTTTTTCACCATTTTATTACTTTTATTTTTTGCATCAACTGTGGCAGGAAAACAAGTTTCTTGTGATGGTGATACGTGATTTGTTAAACCTTTGTGAGATTACAAAAGGCAAAGCCAACAAAGTAGTTATTGCAAGTAATATAATGTGAGATGTTAAACTGGATTTTCATTCTGATAGAGTAGGTAGCAGTAACTAGGCATTCTTATGTGAAAACTTTATCTCAGTTAACTATTTGCAAATGAAATTTATTCAGGCAAATGACCGTGAACTCCAGTTTTCGATGGTTGATGGTGATTTCAAGAAGTTTGAAGGAAAATGGTCTGTCAAATCTGGTAAAAGGTAAATTCTGGTGTAACTTATTTTGCATCTCCTTCCTGGTGATGTGTGTTTCTGAGGATGATTAAAGATTCAAGTATCATTTGGTTGTTAACATTTTTGGCAATCCATGCTAGTTATCCATCTCAACTGTTGCATGAAAATCTAGCCTCTTTAGTTTTGGAGTCTTTATTCAACTAAAATGATATTGTTTACCTTTACATAGCACTGGTAAACATCTTTAGTATGCTTATAGAAGGAATCAACTACAACCTAAATGGCTATGTAATGAGTACTAATATTCTCTTTCATTTAGCAATTGTGTTTAGACATCATTTAACATGTGCAGTTAATTGTTCATGTCTGATCTGCTACAAGATAAGTTAATGGCTAAGTCAGAGGAGTGGGTCTAAAATTTAGTTCTTGTATCTCTTGCCATTGATATTTCTTGAGACAAATTGGAGCACTATATTGAGAAAATTGAGTTGTGACTACATCTAATAACCTTGCCTCAAGGGATTCTCTCCAAGTTTGGAAAATTCTTTATGCCGCCTCAGTTACATCTGATGTTGCATCTCCCACATAGAGATGAAACAATTGAATGTACAAACAATGGTTATGGACTGTAATCCTATTTAGATGTATTCCTCTGGTTTCTATGGACAAGTTTTGGTTAGTTTTCAAACTGGTATCTTTTGCAGTAGCCTTCCTTTTATTTGGCTTTGTAAGCACCGTAAGCATAGTTTTAGAAGACTATCCTATTAGATCAATATTTGTCTGATTTTTTTTTTATCGATACACTAAGGAAGAAGTATTTTTTTTAATCTTTAGTGATTTTAGTGAAGCTTAATTGTAATTTTCACTTTACTTTTTCATTTATCCTTATTTGTGCACTCTTAACTTGTCGATGACTTAGATGGTAATAGCTTACTAATATATGATACTACACAAAAAGTGCTGCTAAAGTGTATCTAAAAAGGAGAGAGGATTTTCAGAATTTGTCAAACTTTGACTTATGAATGTCTGAAAAATGAAAAGTTACACAACGAAGCCTTTAATTCTACCAAATCTTGTGTTCTGATTGTTATCTTCACAAAAAGTGTATAGCTGTTTAATCAACTATCAAAAAAAAAAAGAAAAAGAAAATGATGGACCTTGTCTCCGTTTCTAAGAAACAAAAAACAGATAAATCCAAAGATTGAAGTTTGGAGCTTCAATCCAAGTTTATAACAAAGTTCAAATTCCACCTTCATACATCAACAGATAAACCAGATGCAAAGTAGATGAAGATCAAAGTCAATAGTTAAGTAGAACAATTTCTAAGATACAAAGTCTCAAACTGTATGTGGGCCGGTTATCATGAAGCACCTAACTTAGTAGGAAAGAAGAGTCAGCTAAAGCTGCCAAAGGATCACTTGTACTGTTTCTTCTAAATCAGCAATATGGCCCTTGTCTCAAGTATCTTGTAAACTTTGTGCTAGTGGTTATGCTTGTTCAGTTCATTTCTTCCTGCTTAACAGGCATGTACTGCTGCCTACTTTCTGCTCATTAAATAGTTTTGTCTCAAGAAGGTTTTCATTCATTTTGTAATTGCTGTCTATTTTCTAGATTGCGGATGTATGGTCCTGTGGTGTGACATTGTACGTGATGTTGGTGGGAGCTTATCATATTGACTTAATTGGATTTTTGTTCAGTATGACTATTCATTCAAATTCAATAGTGTATGCGAGTAATGGCATTTTTTTGACTGAAATCGATTCTAATGCATATGATACTTTTCTTTCAATGCAGTACAATGCTACTAAATGCTCTTGAGGAGATGAAAAAGGTTGGCTTTTGGATATGCTCATGAAGATGACTTCAGTTTGACACAAATTGCAGCTTTAGTCTATGTTTTTGTTTGGAAAGAGTACTTTGTTTTTTTGGATGCGTAATGGCTATTACTAGTTGAACTAATGTGAATTTAGTACTCTATTGTTTGGATGGATAATGGCTGTTAGTACTTCAACTAATGTGGGCTTTGGAACCCATTTTGGTTAATGTGTGTTTTGATGAATTTAGAGATGTTTATAACCATATATATATATATATATATATTTGAGGGTTCATTGTACATTAATTACTATCGTTTTTTGCATTAGTCGAGCCACAATTTTCTGCTATGGTTGTTGAAAATGCAATAGAATTGCAGCTCTTGTACACAAAGTTATAAGTTCACTAAGTGACGACTATTCTTGTCACAGAATACTAGGAGTGAGAGTGACAAGTTCAAGTCGTCACTGTGCACGTTCAAATTTGTGACGACTTCTGCTATTTTTTATGACAAAAAAATTTTGGAAACAGTGACAAGAAACTTCGTCACAGAATACTATTTTTTAGTGACGACTTAGTTTTCGTCATTAAATAATAATATTTAGTGACGACTTTGTAGAGGTTGTCACACGTACCCATTTGTGACATAGAATTAGTGACAACAATGTGACAATGGAAAAAGTCGTCACTATATTCATATAATGACGACTTTCTAATTTTTAGGGATGATTTCCTATTGTCACAAAAGGTCAAATTTCTTGTAGTGTTACCATTTTCAATCTTTTTCTTTCATTTTTCCATTTTTCATCATTTTTCTTTTTTCCTTCCTTTTTTCTTTTTTTCAAAATCAATTAACAAAAATAAACCAAAATGCCAAAAGATTGAATTTGAACGCATTTTTGTGAACAATTTTCCTTTTTTTTCTCTTTTTTCATGATTTTTCCCTTTTTCTTTTTCATGATTTTTCTTCTTCTTTTTTTTTCTTTTTCATGATTTTTCTACGCTAAAACTTAAAAAATAAAATAAAAACTAGAAACTAAAAAAAATTAAAAAGCAACTACGACAAATGAGAATAAAAAGTAAAAGAAATTACACCAAAAATTTGGTGTCTACAGTTTGCCCCTCTTTGTCTGAGTTTTGAAAAATTTGAGACAAAGAAATAGACACCAAATACTTACCTGTGTAACGACCCCACCTCCCCCTAAGGCGTAACAGAGGGTTCGGTGGGCCGCCTGCCCAGCTCTCGCCGGGACTCAGTCGTTCTTTAATCAAATCCAGAACAAATCACAAGAATAAATAGGGCAGCAATCCAAACTTAAAGTGGAACTTATATACATTGCTATCTCAAAAGGAAGTACAACCATCAAATGTACAAAGGTTCTCACTTCACCATACAACTAGCCAGTGCCAAGCACTAGGGCGAGAACCATTACAAAAGAAACAAAAGACCTAGACTAGGCTAGTCTATGCTCTCATCCTGCTCACCGTCCCCTGTTAAGGAAAACAAAACTAAAGGGGTGAGCTAAAAGCTCAGTGAGGTTCCAAACAGATAATCAAACAATCAAACAATCAATTCAATACATTAAACATGGAGTATCAATAATTCAAGAAACATTTACAATGGAAAGCAATAGTAACATTCATTAAAAGGATACGGCTCACAAGGAGCAATTCGTTCATTCGTTCTCCTGACATTTCCCCTTATTCCTCCAATCATTTGAAAATGCATTTTTCGTTTATCAATAAACCCTCGTTCGTTCGTTCATTCATTCATTCATTCATTCATTCACCCCCGTCCTGGCCGTTGGCCAGTCTCCACCAACCTACAGGCCAGTCTCCACCAACCTACAGGGTAATACTCGAGTATACCAAACGTTCACCCAAGTCCCTAATCGCCCGACCGAGTCCGCTTCTGACTCGAGACGACCGGTAACAAGGGGCAATGGCCAGTTCAGCCCAAAAGGCTTACATTCATGCGCAAGTAACATTTCAATCATTAAATCCTTGAAAATTGCACAGTTATTTAGGTCGAGTGCGATAAAGTACACACTCGCCTAGAAAGCTCATTTTGGAAATCATTAAAAGCAATTAACACATTAGCAAATGATAACAACAAGCCATAAAGTCAAATAAGGAACACTCACCTAGATATGCAAAATAACATGCAAAATCCTTCCGGATATTACCCTTAGTCACCAATGAAACCTAAGGTTGAACAAGAGAACATATTACAGTTATCGAGCAAAACATTTAAGGGAAACGAAGATACCCGACTAATTAAGAGTAAAACGTGTAAAGATGACTTTCAAGTAAGAAGAGGGTTGTTTGAACCCAAGGATGAAAAATCATGTTTTAAAATGGAAAACCGGTCATGGTATTGGCCTAACAAAAGTATACAAGTTCAAATAGAAACCTAGACCTCGGGCGAAAATTTGGGCAGCACGCCCTTTGTGTTTACCTAATTTTCCAGCCATTTTGGCTTCATTATTTTTCCTCAACCACAACCCAACATCACACATAAGCAATTCAAGTCAAGAGCCGTTCCATAGGCTCACAATATCATAAGAATAAGAAATACAGTAATAACAAGTGCAGAAATTCAATTTAGCAAAAGACAGATTTGATGTATGAAAGCGGAAATAACTTATCCAAGGCTACGCTTATCGGATTAAGACGTAACCTATGCCGTTTCGAAGCTAAGACACATAGCTACAACATTCATGAAGTTCACTTAGTCCAGTTCCTAATGTAACTTAGTCAAATTCTCAAATTACTAAACCAGAAACCAATTCGTCGGCTGTTTAAATGCTGAACACTGTAATGGACATATCTCAGAGTACACAAGTCCGAATCAGGTGTTCTTAGAGGCATTTGAAAGCTAATTCAGAATACTACAACTTTCATGTTTTGGCAAAAAGCTAAATCAGAATGGATCCTAGTCGAAAAACGTGATAAGCTGGACTTAACTGATCACACGGACTGCTTGGGAAATACTTAAAACAGTAAGGGTATTTCAGACTTTTCATGACCTACGTTGCTCCGATTGAGGTGAAATTTTACAGGCACCTACAAAATACCATTCTATACAACGTTTCTTCTTTGACCCAAGTCCAATTCAGCCTCTAACATGCAGTTACCAAACCGGACAGAATGGAAGCTAGAATTTCCAGAAATCTGAAATTTGTAGTTTCTAGTGCAACTTTCCCCAATTTCTCACTTCTCACACTACCAAAACATCTTATACAACATTAATTGTAACATACAAGCATCATACAACAAGTTGGGCAGAATTTCCCAAACCCTAGTTCATCATATAAAGAGGGGAAAAACTTCCAAACATGCTAGCATCCATGATTCCACTACTACTCAAGTTACTAGACTTAATTTAACCAAGATTGAAAGAAAAATTTAGAGAGATATCATCATCCTTACCTTAATATGAGTTCTCCAAGTGTAGCCCAAGCCTTCTCTTTCCAAAATTTCACCACCAAACACTAGCTAATCACTCAAGGAGAAGTTTAATCGGTTTAGTTCTTTTGATTTCTCACTTTGTAGCTTGAATCAAGAAGAAATGAAGAAAGTTCACTCTTGTTCTTCTCCTCTCTCTCTCTCAGCTCCCTTGGCAGAAATATGAAGAGGTATGAAGCTAAGTTGTCTTATATTAAAGCCAAAAGGATTAGAATTAATGGTGTCCACAAATTGCCCAACACTTGGCCTAATCTTGGCCACTAATTTTTCTCTTTCTTTCCCTTGCTTATGAGCCACAAATTTCGGTCAAGCTTGCTGCCAAGAGAGAAGATATTTTGCTCAAGTTCAATAAATTTGTTTGGTAAGCAAAAATGGTGGTCAAGTGGTGCGTTCAAACGGTAGTGCGCGGGACCCGCCGGTTCGCGCCGTTTTTCTTAAAAACTCACGTACTAGGGTTTTTACTTCCCATTCACTAACCTTATATCATTACTACCAATCACATATTATTTCTCACTTAAAAGTCACTTTTAATCCTTATTCTGTACCGAAAATTCATCCGGCGAAAAATCGCGAAAACCCTAATTTTGCTCCAAACTTGAAACCGAAGCGTAAAACCCTATTTTCTAGGTTTATCTACACTTAATGTGAAATATTTGGGTAGTGGCCTTTGGTAAATACTAATTTTCAAATAAAAGGGTATTTTTGAGGAAAAATACAAGGAATTTGCGAGTTCTCACATTCTCTCCCCCTTAAAAAATTTCGCCCTCGAAATTTTACCTTCAGTTGCCTCAGACGAGTCCGGAACTTGTCGGTTGTCTAAAGCAAATACACAAATACATATCAAGTTGGACAGATAACCATGTACATACAGGTATACTAACGTCATGTAGTAACAATATACAGGTAAATCAAAAGGAAAAGGTGAAGTCGTCCCAGTATCAGCCCGTTCGGTCTCTCACGTCACTTACTATCCAAACTAGATGTCCCTGACCTCTTGTGCTCATTCTAGTCAGACAAAGCCTGTTCATGTTCCCAAAATACAAGTCTCAAGTATTTAGCAGCACCTCAACTATAGAGTACTCAGGCACGAGAATCCGAAATAAGATAATTCACATCTTGAGCTGCAGTCCCAAGAGTAAACGATCTACAATCGGAATTCCTACCTGACATACCTATCTATGGTCCTCAGATACCATTAGAAAGATTTAAGGCTTATAACATTCGCAATTCATAGCTTCACTTAGTCCCTCATACTTATTCACCACTTAGTCCAGGGTCACTCCACGTAGAAACCACGCGAAGCAACTATAAATTTTATCCCTCAATCGCTTAACTTTCAAGTCCAATCAAATCCCACAGTCCGGTATCCTAATCTTTAATCTAGGATACACTACAGAGATCTGAAGCCTAAGCTCTGATACCACTTGTAACGACCCCACCTCCCCCTAAGGCGTACCAGAGGGTTCGGCGGGCCGCCTGCCCAGCTCTCGCCGGGACTCAGTCGTTCTTTAATCAAATCCAGAACAAATCACAAGAATAAATAGGGCAGCAATCCAAACTTAAAGTGGAACTTATATACATTGCTATCTCAAAAGGAAGTACAACCATCAAATGTACAAAGGTTCTCACTTCACCATACAACTAGCCCGTGCCAAGCACTAGGGCGAGAACCATTACAAAAGAAACAAAAGACCTAGACTAGGCTAGTCTATGCTCTCATCCTGCTCGCCGTCCCCTGTTAAGGAAAACAAAACTAAAGG